GACCTACATACATTATAGATTACTCAACCAGAAATGTAAGAAGATATATAGCCACGCCAAATATTTAGATCTCCATTCTACCAAGAATCAAATATGAGGGAACCTCAGCAACCAACCTAATTGGCCATGGCTACGCATAAAGCATACTATGCGAAAATTCTGCTTCTCCTCTAGTGAATGTTTTCCAGGCGAATTTTTCTCTAACAAATGTTAGTTATTATAATTATAACAAAATCACTCTAATTAGTGGTCATGAATTTTCCTATTGATTTTTATTATATTATTATTACAAGGTATGTCCCATAAGTTCCCGGACTGGGTCCATAAAAAAAAAGAGAAATGTAAATAAATTTGACTGTGTTTATTATAGAAAAATATCTGGCAACACGGTGGTACCAATATCGAGCGGTACGTGCGCGCGCGCCAAGGTCATTCTAATTTATTTAGGTTACACCTAGCGCTGCGGCGATTTTACGATGGAACAAAAATTGAAGCAGAGGATTTGCATCGAATTTTGTGTGAAACTTCAAATATCAGCAATCGAAACTTTTGAAATGCTTAATAAAGCATTCCCCAATGACGCCCCAAAGAGAACAACTGTTTTTGAATGGCATTCTAGATTTAAAGCTGGCAGAATTTCCATTAAAGATGATCCTCGTCAAGGACGCCCAAAATTTCAAAGGACTGATGAAAATGTGCAAAAAACACCGAATTGATAAAAGAAAATCCTCGAACCACTTTGCTGCAGCTAGAGCAAGACACAGGCATCTCTAAAACAACGATTGGAGGGATCGTAACCGAAGATTTGAAGCTCATAAAGACTCCTGAAAAATTCATCCCAAGATTCCTCACTAATGAGCAAAAACTGTGTAGGCTTGCAACCTGTGAGGACATGTTGGAAATGACAAAAACAGATCCGAAATATAAAGACAAGATAATCACAAGCGACGAGACATGGGTCTATGGCTATGACCCTGAAACCAAGCGTCAATCTGCCGAGCGGAGAGGTCAGGGTGAGCCTAGACCCAAAAAATCCAGGATATTGAAATCCAGAAACAAGGTGTTGCTGGTCGCTTTTTTTGGATAACAAGGGCATTGTTCATCACGAGTATCTTCCTGCAGGCCAAACAGTTATTAAGGGAATGTATTTGGGAATTCTTCGCCGTCTAAGGGAAGCGATTTAAAAAAAAAAGGCCAGAAAAAATGTATTAATGGTGACTTGATCCTACACCATGACAATGCCCGCCCTCACACAGCGCACTTGGTGACGAGTTTTTTGGCGAAAAACGGGACACAAATCCTACCTCAACCACCCTATTCCCCAGACATCGCACCAAATGGCTTTTTCCTGTTCCCCAAACTTAAAGCAGTTCTAAAAGGAAGACATTTTGACACCAGGGATGACATAATAGAAAAGTCTCTGTTGAAATTGAAGAGCATTCCAAAAGAGGCCTATAAAACCGTTTCGACAATTGGGAGAAACGATGGCGCTGGTGCGTTGAAGCAAGGGAGGATTACTTTGAAAAGTTTTAATTTTTTAAAAACCAGACCCAGTCCGGGAATTTATGGGACATACCTTGTATTTTCATTTCTGTGTTTCATTTCAAAAATTTTCATATTTTAAAAATTCATTTCAGTTTAGAGGGATAATAAAATGTAATCACATAGTACATACTTGCGCAATCATTGCGCAACATTTACAAGGGCCCTCAATATTAAGATTTATTTCCTCTCTCAGGCTCCAGGCTTTAGGAGCTCAAAATCCATTATAATCCTCGGGTTTAAAAAAAGATGAGCCGGACGTGATTCGAACACGCAACCTTCTGATCTGGAGTCAGACGCGCTACCGTTGAGCCACCAGCCCATGAAACTTTTAGCCCAAAATTTGTTATTCATCTTCCCCCTACACACAGCTTCATTAAGACAACCGGTCTTATACAGATTCACCACAAGAAAGAAACATAGACCTTCCTCATCTCGGCTTTTAAAAAAATAGCTTTATCCAAAGTAGAAACCTTCGGCATTATAAATTAGTAGAATGTTAAGTGGTTTTATATAAACTTATAGTAGGATGTTTTAGCAATAATTATTTCTAAAATTTAGAAAAATCTATATATATTATATAAATATTAAATAAAGATTTTCTGTTGATTTTGGAATTGTTGTGATTATCTTGAGGATTATGCTCTGGCGGTCGATTTAGCAGAGTATTTTTATCTATGAAATATATTTTTAAATAAAATAATACTTTAATATAACATAATTTTAAATAAAATATTTTATTATAACATTTCCCCCCTGTTAAGAAAATAATATGGGCAGAGAGGAAGGTGATAAAATAGTTTTTTTAAAAAAAGATATAATGATTAAAAGAAAATAACGAGAGGTGTGTGATATTCACTTATCATATTGGTTTTTGTATGGTAACCAATAGACAGGAAAGTACAAAAAATGATAATGTGAATAATGATAACAAAAATGTGGTGAAGAGTGAAAATATGGTTGATTGAACATTGTGGTAAAGAGTGAAAATTGTGGTAAAGAGTGAAAATTGTGGTAAAGAGTGAAAATGTGGTTGATTGAAAATTGTGGTAAAGAGTGAAAATTGTGGTATTCCCTAATCATATTGGTTTGTTATTAACCAATAGATTGGAAATAGACACAAGAAAAAATGCACAAATATAATATTAAAATGAGGAAGGAAAAATAAAATGCATGAATTATTAAAATGTATGTGAATGAAAAATAATATGATAGCATTAACAAAACATTGGATGATTATAAGAAAAAAAAGAATTTGTGAAAAGCAAGAAGTTGGGACAAAGTTTATGTACAAAAGGCAAATATGAAAACAAGGAATGGACATGTAAATATAATGGAATTAATGGTAAGAATAAAGAATGGGTATTGAAAAAAAGAATCAAGGTGAACAAAAACAAAAGTTAAAATTTACATATGTTGGTATCGCTAAATTTACATATTAGTTAGGCGAAATGAGAAACATTAAAAGATTATGGCATTTAAAAATAAATTTAAAAGGGGCTTAAAATGCAAAGGTTTAAAGATAAAACATGGAATGATAAATATATAGTAACTAATTATACAAAGGAAAATAAAATTTAAAAGGATTAAAAGGTGTGATAAAATTAAAAGGGAAAAAATAGCTATGGCAAAATTGATATTTGAGATTGATTCAACAAAAAGGGAAATAACTATAAACAAGCGATTGAAAACTATTGTAAACAAGAGAGAAAAAGTTGAAACGGGGCAAATTATGTAAAAGTCAGATACAAAGTACCTTGAAATGGAAGATGGGCTGGATTTGAAGATCTCGGGAGATGGCTGACGCTGGGCGGAAGATGCGATGGCTGAGTTGGAAGGGAGAAGACTGCTTGAAATTGCTGGATATGGTAGGAAATGAGTATGTTGACTTGAATTTGGCTATTTTTGATTGAAATGAACTATTTTTGATTGGGAAAGCTATTTTTGATTGGAAGATTTGCATATTTGAAATTGAAAAAATTTGCTTTTGGCATATTGTTCACACAAGTTTCAGATATCCTGTCGGCTAATATTATATAAATATTAAAAAAAAAAGATTTTCTGTTGATTTTGGAATTGTTGTGATTATCTTGAGGATTATGCTCTGGCGGTCGATTTAGCAGAGTATTTTTATCTATGAAATATATTTTTAAATAAAATAATACTTTAATATAACATAATTTTAAATAAAATATTTTAATATAACATATATATATTTGCCTTATTCTGTCTGTTTGTCTGTATGTCTGAAGCTCACGGATAGAATGCGCGCCCATTGGCTGCCAGCGAACACGTGGCCTCCCTGCCCCCCTCTAGACAACCCTGTTATCAGCTGTGCGATACATACACCTGTCTATAGCGGCCACTCTAGACAACCCTGTTATCAGCAGTGTGCTACATCCACCTGTCTAAACAGACCACTCTGTCTATAGCGGCCACTCTAGACAACCCTGTTATCAGCTGTGTGATACATCCACCTGTCTATACAGACCACCCTGTCTATAGCGGTCACTCTAGACAACCCTGTTATCATCAGTGTGTTACATTCACCTGTCTATACAGACCACCCTGTCTATAGCGGTCACTCTAGGCAACCCTGTTAACAGCAGTGTGATACATACACCTGTCTATACAGACCACCCTGACTATAGCGACCACTCTAGACAACCCTGTTATCAGCTGCCTGTCTATACAGACCACCCTGTCTATAGCGGTCACCTTAGGCAACCCTGTTATCATCAGTGTGATACATCCACCTGTCTATACAGACCACCCTGTCTATAGCGACCACTCTAGACAACCCTGTTATCAGCTGTGTGATACATCCACCTGTCTATACAGACCACCCTGTCAATAGCGACCACCCAAGACAACGTTTTTAAAATATATTCGCACTCGGGTAAACCCCGGGCGTTGCCCGGGCCATTCGTCTAGTACAACAATAAGTAGAATCTAGATTTCAAAAATAACCATTCCCCCCTCAGGAGAGTGACAGAGAGTCAATGAAACGTTGAGAAGAAAATAAAGATTGGTTAATGTAAGCGTTTCTTTTCAAACAAACTTCCAACCAGCACTAATGCCATTTTAAAAATATAATTATAAAAATACAGCTACCAACAGAGAGTTTCAAGTCATTAGAAGCAAATATATTCCATATCCATGCCAGTTTTGGCTCTCCTTTCTATAATTAAATAAATCTGAAATATTGGTAATATATATATAATATATTATAAAGGACTGCGGCGTATGATTATAAACAATACTTAAAGTTGCACCGCATAAGTTTCTTTTTTGTGAAAAATCAATATTTTATTTCAAAGAGAAATATCTAGTATTTCTAACTATTTTAGATGACGTATGAGAGGGTGGAAATATGAAGCGTAATGGTCTATATATAATTGGATGACGTATGAAAGGATGAAAATATGAAGAGCAATGGCGAACGGAAAAATAAAAGTGTCCAGGGGCGGGAATCGAATTCCACAACCTTCTGCTTACCGGGCAGGTGCCATGTCCACTAGGCTACCCTGGACATATTTCTCCGTTGGGTTCGATTCCCGCCCCTGGACACTTTTATTTTTCCGTTCGCCATTGCTCTTCATATTTTCATCCTTTCATACGTCATCCAATTATATATAGACCATTACGCTTCATATTCCCACCCTCTCATACGTCATCTAAAAAGTTAGAAATACTAGATATTTCTCTTTGAAATAAAATATTGATTTTTCACAAAAAAAGAAACTTATGCAGTGTAACTTTAAGTATTGTTTATAATCATACGCCGCAGTCCTTTATAATGTATTATAAGTTACTTTAAGTATTAGTTACGAACGGAGAAATATGTCCAGGGTAGCCTAGTAGACATGGCACCTGCCCGGTAAGCAGAAGGTTGTGGGTTCGATTCCCGCCCCTGGACACTTTTATTTTTCAGTTCGCCATTGCGCTTCATATTTTCATCCTTTCATACGTCATCCAATTATATATAGACCATTACGCTTCATATTTCCACCCTCTCATACGTCATCTAAAAAAGTTAGAAATACTAGATATTTCTCTTTGAAATAAAATATTGATTTTTCACAAAAAAGAAACTTATGCGGTGCAACTTTAAGTATTGTTTATAATATATATATACATCAACACAAAGCCTTTATTAAGACACCAGTCTTATACAGATTCTTTTCTCTCATTGCCGGCTTGCAACAATATGTTGATCATTTTAAAATACTCTGTTATAATATAATGTTTGAATTATTTTAAATAAAAATACGTGTGTACCATATTTGTATATGTAGTTTGGTGTGTAGACTTCGCATGTAGTGAATGGTGCGCACTGGGGAAGTAAAACATTGCATATATCGATAATTTTCAATGTTTCTACTTCTTCACATTTAAAAGAAAATATTATAGTTAACCAATATTTTAAAGTTCCAATTCCATATTCTTTTAAATGGATTGTATGCGGGATCAGATAGTTTGTTTCCAAATTCGGTCATTATTTGTATTCAGCCTAAATATAAATTTCAAACTGATGATGACTATAGGATATGTAAGAAATTTGAACTAATTTTTATTCGTATGATTCTTTTAAAAATAAATCAATTTTCTACTGTCCTTATTCCAATGATAAAAATAATGGGAGGGCCTGGCTCATCAGTGGTGAACCCTTCCAGCGGGTTCGCCAGTTTAATCTATCATACTGCTGTAATATTGCAGTAAAGACAGTAGAAAAATTGATTTAGTTTAAAAAGAATCTTACGCGTCAGAAATAGTTCAAATTTTATATAACAGATGGCGCGCTGTTGGATCATATTAATATTGGATATATGGAGACATTTCACCACTTCTGAGACTGGCAGGAGGAAATAGGCGAGTACTGACCGACCACCTTTATATTGATAGAGGGGGGGGGGATTATGGTGAATACTGGATTAAGGCCTAACCAAGTTTAAACCAGAAATTTCGAGTCTCATAGCTCAGTATCAAATCAATAATTTACTTTAAATTTTATTTGTAATCTTTTTAGGTATATTCATAGTGAATCATCAAGTACGCCGCTAATATTTGATAGTTTAAAATTAGAAAGAAAACGTCTGAATTTCATCAATTTTTTGTTTCTGACATTTTAACGTTTTTATATATTTCAAAATATACATATTCGTATCTTCAAAGCATTTATATAAATGTCAAAAAAATCTTCAAAATATCATTTTATTTTATTACTTTGAAGTTATTGGAGTAAGGTTTAATCATAATCTTATGGTTGCAAATCCACACAATTTCATGATATAACAATTTCAAAATAATTATAATTATTTTAAGATATTTTAAATGGATAATATATAATTTTAAAAAAGATATATATAATCTCTTATTTTCATATAAATATATAACATTTTGGGACTCAATAAAAATTTCGTTTCCCACGGTCCAACAATGGGGCAGTCGGTTGGGAATTGAGGTGAAGGCGGGTCTGCTTTGAGACTCTGTCCGAATTTACAGGTTTCCTCATATATTGAGGCTTTGTCTTCCTCTCCCCCGACTCTTTGAGATGGAGTCCATAGCATCGGCAGACCAGTTCCTGGCAGGGCCTGGACCATTAGCTCGGCCGAGTCATCTCGAGCGAGTTGGATGCTCTGGTTGTGCCAGAAGAGTGGAATAGGGCTTCTACGGGAGGCGAAGCGCCACTATAAACAAAGGCTAACGCGTCGAGCAGGTACCTCCTGGGTGACGTGGAAACCCTTTGCGAAAATATTCATGGCCTGGTCTGGTGATGCATGGACTCTTTGGATAAGATAAAATGATTACAATAATTGCCATTAAATTATTAACGCTGAATAATAAAATGAAATTCAATACACACCATGTAAAGATACATAAGAGGGGGGGGTTACAGAAAACAAAATATGACTAAAAATATATATTTAAAAATAAGAAATTAATATAAAAATATTATCCTTAGCCCCAAAATTATTCCCTAAATAATGGGAAATTCAGTCTAGTACAATAGTAGAACGATTTGGGGATTAAACTGGCGAAACCGATGGGAGAGTTCACCTCTGATGAACCATACCCTCTCTTAATTATATGAATCTAAAAAAATGAGACTAAATTTAGCGCCATTTTCAGGCTCACATGTCTCAGCGTAACTCTCGATCTGACACTAAATTTGGCAAAAATCAAACTTCACCTCTTCCATCAAAATAGGCGCAGAATCTATTATTGATTGATCGTCTCTGCAATCTAACAGACTCAGGTCACCCATAAAATAGACTAAACACTTTACTAGATAAACACCTCTTGGGTAAATTCTGAATATTTCACGAATCCTTAGTGAATCAAAAAGCTCGCCCTAGACTGATCAGGGCCATAGTGCTGTACATATTTTAATTATTTGTTACCACAGAGTGTGTGTAAGCTCACGGGTAAATAGGCGCTAAAAACAAGAAGAAAGAGTTCCTTTGTTTCAATATAAGTTTCCCTTTTATATTATATCTCTCTCTTGTAAATCAATAAATATAATGTTTAATTAATAATTATTGGAATCAGTTTCATTAATAATACTAAGCAAAGTCAACAATTGGTAGCAGAGCGTGGTTTATTGATATAAAGCTCAAAAACGAAAATATTCAATCTGAAGATTAAGCAAGAAGTTTATTCTGATCGGTAAACTGAAGCACTTATAAGAAGATTAAAGGTATTTATATAGATTAAGTTAAATTATATCTATATATTGCATGTTTAAAAGCTACCCAATATTTAAATAAATTTAAAATATATATTTGTTTTAAATTATACATTGGTTTGTTTATATTAGCTCAAAAGACGAAAATGGCTGAATATAATTTTTTATCCCAAACAAAAATTGAACCATTAACAGGAAATAATTATCAAATATGGGCGTTGAAAATCGGCGCAGTTCTGAGAGGAAGAAAATTATTTAAATGTGTAATTTCAGATCCAGAACCTGATATGGAAGACAAAAGTTCTTGGGAGATTTGGAGTGATAAAAATGATGAAGCTTTTGGGATAACCATCACTACGTTGACAAATGAACAAGCTAGAATGTTCATAGGAGAAACAAATGCTAAGAAAGTATGGGACTCACTGAGAAAAACATACACAGGCAATTTGGAAGATAAAATTATTGATATAGGCTTAGAATTAAAGAACATTAGAATGAAAGATAATGAAACTGTAGATGAATATATAACAAGGGCAAAAAATATTGCTGCTAGAAGTTCATCATTAGGGCATCAATTTTCCTCAAGAGAACTTTCATTTCATATTGTCAGAGGCATACATCCAAGGTATGAAAATATTGCTATTGTCTTACGATCAAAGAGAGAAGCAACAATTGAAGAGATTCAACAAACTCTAAGAGAAGAGGAGTCAAGAAGAAATATGAGATTAAATCAATCGGTTGAGAATGGGCATGAACAAGCATACAGAATTAAAGATGGAAAAGTTCAACAATCTCAGCCAAAAAGATGTTTTGTTTGTAATAAAAAGGGACATCTAGCTAATGATTGCTGGTTTCGAGATAAACAGAAACAAGGATACCAAAAGAAATGGAATCCTGGTTATAGAAATCACAAATACAGTAGGGAACATTCAAATAACCTAGTGGATACTATGAAAAGTGGAATTAATGAGCAAGCATTTGAAACATATGTAAAAGAATTTGAAGATTCACCAGATGAGAGAAATGATAGACAAATATGGTGTATAGATTCAGGATGCACCGCACATTTAACCCCAAACCTAACTTTGATGGAAAATGTGGTAGATTATGAAAGTGAAATCAACCTAGCTGAAAAGGGCAAAACTACCCAAGCCATAGCCAAACGAGATATGAGACTTACTACATGCACAAGTGAAGGCCAAGAAAATATTCGCATCAAAGATATCGTACATGTACCAAGTTTAAGGAATAATTTCTTGTCAGTATACAAATTAGTCAACAAGGGAAATTCAGTTATTTTCAATAAGGATGGAGCAAAAATTTATAATGAAGGGAATGATTTAGTTGCTGAAGCATATATTAAAGATAGAATGTTTATGATGGAAACAAAACAAAGAAATGTACCAATAGCAAAAAATGAAAATGTCATGGTTATAAATACACATTTATCAAATAAAAATAGCAATATAAGTTTATGGCATAAGAGATTAAACCAAATAAATGAAGAATACATGAAAAAAAATTATTCAAGGACATATTGTAAGAGGATTGGATCTAAAATTCGAAAGGTTACCAGAGTGCGAAGCATGCATAATGGGAAAACTGGTGCAGAAGCCATATAATATTACAGAAAATTATACAGTTAAGCCCCTGCAGTTGATTCATATGGATTTATGTGGACCAATGCCATGTCAATCTTTAGGAGGATCTAAGTATTTCCTTGTTATAGTAGATGATTACAGTAGAAGAATCTTTGTATATTTCCTGAGATCAAAAGATGAGACCTTTGAAAGATTTGAAGAATTTAAAGCAAGAGCCGAAAACGAATTAAGTCTTAGAATAAA